TTTTTATTATCAACAATCAGCAAATAAGCAGATGTCATTTTGAAATCGTTGTATAATAAAAACGTTTGCGCAATAAAAATGATTCAAATTATGATGAGTGTGGYAWATTCTATTGGCACTTTGTCGTGCGAGCAGATCGAGAAACATCAGCTTTTCGGACAGCTCAGTTTTGATGACACTGTTTCCAAATGTTTTTAAAGCAAACTGTAATAGCTTGCGTTATTTTCCTACTAGCTTTTTACAYTTTTATARCTGTTRCATCCACGCTCCAACTTGTAGACTTTCCTCCAATGGACACGAGCAGTACGCGAAGTACTTATTTCCATACCATCAAAAATAAGAGAGCACAAGGGCGCAAGATGAAAACGACACAAGTTCGCGAGAAAATGGAGTGCGTTCAGATGTGTTCCCTCCTTGCGGATGGMTGYATTGATGTTAACTTTAAAAAGGATTCTAAGGATGGGTTTCACGATTGCGAACTATTAGAGGAAAGACACGTTGATGAGAACGGACAGGATGATGACGATGAACKRTTTGATCACATGGCAATGCTTGTAAGTAGACTATAAAATAAACACTTTTAATGAATAAAACATCTGCATTAGGAATATATATTTGGCCGATGTGACTTTAAACAAAATCAAAATATTATAWAGAATGAATTGTTCATTAGATTTCTTAAACTGACCGGAAAACTAGCGGTTTAACTGTTTGTCGGTGTTGCCATGGAAACGGTAGTAGTRAAATGCCAATTAGCTCACCATATACGGCAATATGTTTGCTGATATTTTGGACGTATATTTCTTAATCGGCGGATTTTACTCCGCTGATGGGTCAACGTCCTCTATTAAACTATTATTGCTTTTTYGGCACATTTTAGTGTTTGTATATTAAAGATTAAGATCGAAATAATGCTGCTTTTAAGTCCGACAGCCTTTTCTTAAACAGCATGTTTAATCCATGGCTCAAACACGCTAAAAAATCTTATCTTTGGTAAACTTACGTTTCTAACAGATCCCAAATTTCCCGGACTGCGCAGAGATTTACAAGAAGAATGCCCAATCCAGTGGATTGTATCGCATCAGACCAGTCTCCAATCGGTCGATTACAGCCTATTGTGACATGGATACTAGTGGTGGGGGATGGACCGTTATTCAAAAACGACTRGATGGCTCCGTTGATTTCTACCGTGAATGGGACGACTACAAGARAGGGTTTGGTAACAAGCTTGGAGAGTACTGGTTGGGACTGGACGCCATTCACTCKATGACYTCAGKAGAAGGGTATCAGCTGCGAGTGGACTTGGAGGATTTCGAGGGAAACACGCGCTACGCAGAGTATGACACGTTTATGGTCGATGGCGAAGCAGAGAGATATCGTCTATTTGTTGGGGGATATTCAGGTAACGTACGGTTCAGCAAATGCGGGTATGGAAATCATACCATACCATACCATACCATACTATGTCTTTTTAAAAAAATAAATTAAATTAAAATTTTCCACCACGTATGCACTTAGTTACTTCTGCATGAGACTCTATAGGAGATCACGAAATTTAAAATGATAGAGAGGAGTTACAATCGTTTTACATTAATTACTTTAATTGCATCATTGCTTTGAAATCAAAACGACCGCATCAAATTGAAAGTTAGATATGCGCAATCGTTTTTGCTTATCTTTATTTTCGCCTCAGGYAATGCAAGTGATTCATTGTCATCTCACGACCAACAGTACTTCTCTGCCCGAGACAATGACAACCACGATGATACAGTGGGCTTCTCTTGCTCTAACCGTTACAAAAGTGGCTGGTGGTTCAAGGCATGCCATGCAAGCAATTTAAATGGAATCTATCTCAAGGGTAATCATACACAAGCTCAAGGTGCGGGCATTAACTGGTATTTTTGGACAGGTCTGCAGTATTCTTTAAGGAAAGCGGAAATGAAGATAAGACCAAAAGACTTTTAATCTAGGAATAGGCAATATAACGTCATTAATCATTCTTAAAAAAACGTTCTCGTTCTCGTTCTCGTTCCCCTTATACGGTCAATGGAATATCCCACTTGAATGTCTTGGAGCCCAGTCCCCTATTGTYTTTCTGCTGACAAAGATATAAACAGGCAAGTCCTCATCGAGAAAACGCATTTGTCTGCTAAGAGTTTAACTCTCCCTTTTTCAAAAGGAAATAGCAAAAAAAAAAAAGAAATTTATAAACTGTAGCTTATATACCAAGTTCTCCTTTTACAATTTTTCATCCAAAAGCTAACTTTGTTAGGTATTTGTTTTTTATTGATGCGAAAAAGTAATCGTTCTGCTTATCGCATTTTTATTGAGATTTTTTATAGCACAAACTGTAAAAATCAACTAGCTTCTAGATCTGAGTGCAATGGATGTAAGTATATAGAATTGGTTGGATGCAATGGCTTAAAACATTTAGATCATGCGGTGTTTATTTTAATTGAGTACATTATATTTTCGTCTCCCTGAGTCGCAAAGTAAAAAGATCACAGACAAAAACGCCATGCCATGTCGTAGGAGTATAGCATTAGCTAATGGACTGAAGAGATGGATTAATAGAATTATTCTCTATAATAGATCATACATGAAACATAAAAAACAACTATGAATAACATTAAAAAGTAATAAAAATCTTCACGTCTTCGCCATATTGTCTGCACTTTTCTTTGTTTTCTTTCAAAAGAAAGATAATTGCCTTTGAGGTTTTCTTCTTGGAAATAAACTGAATAAACCAGATCTTTTAGGAATGCCTTGCATATATTTTGATTTTCTCAGTGTCTACACTGTTTATAATTCATCTAACAATTTCTTTATATATCAGTTTTAGTCATTCTATGTTTATTTCATTCTTTTTTTCCATAGTTCTATTTATTTTTGGGGATATTTCAAATAGCTCCATCCTAAATACTTTTTAAATAGTAACTAAAATAATAGAAAAAAAATGAACCAGAAAATAAAAAAGATCAAAAGCAAGGAAAAACTTAAAGCACAAACACATGTTCGTTAGGCGAAGAAGTTAAATTTGATGATGTGAGGTGAGTTGCCCAGTGTGGGAACCAGAGGCTGGGTTTACTCCTTGTAGTTTATAAACAACAAGAACGAGTAAATCCAGACTCTGGTTCCCAGCGTAAGTTGAGGTTGATTTCCAAAAAAAGACGGACGTTGCAACCACCTAATTCAAATGGCTGTGCTGAACTCAAACTCAAAACTATAAACGTAACATGTATTGCAATTTCTATTAATTCATTGTCATGGGAAAAACACTGTTTTCTTACAGCGCCTGCCGTTGTTATCATCCAAGATGGCCGCTGTGACTAATACCTGTTATTGAAAACGAAGAATTTATTGTTGAAAATGAAATAGCTGTTAAAACACCTTTCATCAGGCATGAATAAAACAAAAGTTGCGCCATACATGTCTCTATTTTGTTATTTATCAGTTGCTATTTGTTCATGTTGCTTTTTGTTAGAAGTAACTTGTAGACGTGTAACTCGGCCATGATGACTGACTCATTCAGGAATCCGTTTCATTGTAAAAGAAGCTACATGAAAAAATTGAAAATACAACGACGGGTCTTGAGCTTTATCATAAATATTATTCTCAGTGTTGTTTATATTTGTCAATATTTTCATTGGGCTGAATTTCAGGAATTTTAAAAAGCAGATAGAAATAGAACAATGGCAGCTGGCAGGACCTTCAAGTCGTGAAAGTTTGTAGCAATATTAGTAAACATGCACAACGTGATATCCTGCAGTTTAAGTCATGTATAAGAAAGCTACATTCCTTCATAGATCCTATTGTTGTTGACCAAATCATATATCTTTAATTTGGTTTGTCTATTTACAAGAATCAAAAATCTCATCAATAAGTTCCTAAGTGAAAAGTTCAAAGCGACTCATGAATTTATCAGTATGTCATCAGGGGTCCTGCTAGCGTAATATCCAATCAAACATATCTTCAGGTAAGTATTTAATCTCAATTATGTATTACGTTTAAATTCTATGGTCAAATACATTTGTTTTTTGATACAATATGAACAGCCTCCTACTGTCAATTCTCAGTAATTCAGTCTCTACATTCGTTATAAATTCATAGTGTATAGCTACTCGTTCAGAACATACTGCAAATATACTTAAACCACTACAAGGTCTAAGCTAAAATGCTATTGAAAGAACAGGTTTTTGTTTTTACCTTTCTCATCTTTTTCTTGACGTTTTTTGAGCAATGTTATCAGCTACAAGCCGCGTCCCAAGTGCGTCGTATTCCAGCGTCAATTTTTTTCCCATCCAGTCCCTTTTACACGGTGAAAAGAAATAAGAGACAGCGCCATGGGAAAATGAAAGTTGCCCGAGTACATGATGACATGGCTTGTATTCAGCAGTGTTCTCGTTTGGTAAGTGTTGGCTGTGCTGCCGTAAACTTTAAAAAAGATGTCATCAATAGACTTCATGATTGCGAACTCTTAATGGCAACACAAGGTAACATTGAAGATGAAATACCATTTGAAGACAACCAGGGATTTGACCATTTTGTTCTAAAGGTATAATATTTCTTGTTATATTTTATGTTCTTGTTTTTTTTTAAACTCATTTTTTATTTTTGACTAAGGGAGTGGTCAGTGTCCTCAGTAACAATGCTCAAACTGCATGGTTTTATTTCAAGAATTGCTCAAAGTCCGCGCTTTGTGCAAACTTTCTTACAGTTTTGTTTTTGAGTTGAGTCAGTTATTCCACGTCTTGCGTCCGTCGAGAACCAGTTTGTACCTCTATTGCTTGAAGTGTTTTCACACTCATTCTGCGCTGGTTTTCCTTCTTTCTTATACTGCGATTACATATCGGCGTTACGATAACTCATTTCGAGATGTTTCCAAGTAAACGGGCTAACCATCAGGTGAAAACTCCCTTAGAGAGACTCAGCTCGCATATTCATAATTCAAACCGCCTTTCAAAATGCCCGGAGGCGAGAATAAATCTGAGAAATCTCATTTTATATGCAAGTCTCGTACCTTACAGTTTTGTGAACACGAAATACTTACAAATTTACCATAAACAACCCTTCATTACCTCATCCATATCAGTCTTATGCCTGAACTATCAAGCTATATAAACTACCATTTATCTATTTTGAAAACCAATAGTTTATAATTCATATTAAATTCTTCTCATTTAAGAATCCAACTTTCCGAGACTGTGCGGAAATCATGAAGAAATCGCGAGTTCCCAGCGGATTGTATTCAATCAGACCTTCTGCCAATCTACCACCTATCGAGGTTATGTGTGACATGACAACTGACGGTGGAGGYTGGACAATCATTCAGAATCGACTAGACGGGTCTGTTGATTTCTACCGTGACTGGGCCAACTACAAGAGAGGGTTTGGTAACAAGCCCGGAGAGTACTGGTTGGGATTGGATGCCATTCACTCAATGACRTCACAAGGAGACCAAGAACTTCGAGTCGACTTGGATGATTTTGAGGGAAACACGCGCTACGCGGAGTATGACACGTTTATCGTGGGCGATGAAGGGGACAATTATCGTCTTACTCTTGGAAAATACTCAGGTAAGCACAATGATTCAAAGGAATGCAAAACCTCTTAATTAATGGCTGGTCATTTTAGCATCTGCTGCACGGACTGATACGGGATGGTTTTCTGGGACCAGGGTGCAGTTTGACCAAAGAGGGGATCAACTACACTGAACTGGTCACAAAGGAGATGCAAATTAGAAGAACAAATCAAAATTACAGGGTCCCACGAACTGGACCCACCCTGCTCTGAAAACGACTTAAATATTGTAGACAATTGTCAAAAGAAAAGAACACTGCAACAAACGATACGAAACTAAAAAACAAAAACACTGTTTCATTATCCGTAAATCGCGCAGGAACCAGACTGACTAACTTCATTTAAATACAAACGAAAATATCTGTTCCAGGTAATGCTGGCGATTCTCTCAGTCCTTGGCACAACAACATGGCATTTTCAACAAAAGATCGTGACAATGACATCAACAAAGATGAAAACTGCGCAATTGAGAACCATGGAGGCTGGTGGTACGCTGCTTGTCACCAAGTYGACCTAAATGGTYTGTACTTGAATGGKCCGTACAGCGCTGGGGCACCTAAYGGTGTTCATTGGTTGGGACGAGGAAATTCCTTGAAAAGAGCAGTGATGAAAATACGACCGAAAGATTTTTAAACTATTTCTACTTCTTCTCACAGTTGCGACAATACATGCATGCAGACTACTATCGAAAGACAGATGAGAGTATCAAAGTCATAGATACCAAAGATTAGATATATGAAACTGAATTCTAGTAATCGAAAGAAAATATGAAAGAGAAGCGTTCAGTGATAGTAATTTCACCTTTCTTTCTGAGTAAATTATACTAAAGTTGCCTCGAAATACATATTACATTTACAGATTTTCAATAAATCTTCATGCAGCCAAAGCCGGTGGGGTTTACTTATTTATTTATTGCGAATCATTCTAACTCTCCACTGATCCCTATCTTCCACATTCCTTATTGTCCGGCTTATTTCAAGAATAGGCTTATACAACAACATTAGTGTCATATGCCCAAATTTGGTTAGACGGAAATCACAGCAAAAACGCTTTCGAAACTCTTGGATGTGTATAAAAGCGAAGCGAATTCCCAATTTTAGCTTCAAAGCAATAGGAAATTTTAGTACCTCAAGTACAGGTATCGTATTATAATTTCTGTCGAATTGAGTAATCACGGAAGCTGTGTGAAATCTCAGACGTCGAAGTCGACAATGCTAACCATCCGAATCATTCTGTTATTGAGTGCTTTAGTAATGGCCGATGCCTGGCCCAAGGATACACCATATACTCCTAAAGGGAAAGGTAGCTCTGTCGTAGAAGACGTCGTCTCCATGATAGAAAGATCGAACATCTTTCCATCCGACAACAARTTCCTTTGTAGAGTGGCCTGGGTTGAGTCGAAGTACGGGACTGCCATAGGCACATACAGACCAGGCTACTATGGAGGAATATGGCAGGTTTGTAACGCGAAATAATTTTAGAGAYTGATGACCAACTCCCTCWTCMCAGATTMTTTACAGGCTGCTTCTATCTCCCTTCTCCTTGTGTTTCCACCCCAGCGCTCCTCATTTGATGGAAGCTTAATAGTTCGAAGTGAATTTTCTATGGTGGGTATACCCTTATAAAACTCTCTTGTCGACAGTCCCAGTGGCTATGAGCCACTCATATTGCAAGAATAAGACATCCAGTATTGTTAAAAAAAAACAGTNTCAAGGGTAAGTGACATTGAAAAACGAACCTACGGACACTACAATGTTATTTTATGATGAAAAATGATATTAAAGGGTTAACGGTCCCAGGAAGGGATACGCGCCCACTGCACCCACCAGCTGGATGCGCCATTACGTTCTAAATATCTCTACAACAATTTCAGGAAGCATCTACGATGGAATGGAAATTCACAAGAAGGTAAAATTCTCTACTTGGGATCGTGACAACGACTATGATGAGTTTAGGTCATGTGCAGCTCTCTACAAAGGGGGCTGGTGGTACAATAAATGCTTCCACAGCAACCTTAACGGGCAGTATGGCTCTAAACGGCTCAGTGACCTACTGAAAAAGTCGAATAATGACGCCGGGTTTTTGGTGTTGATGTTATGGACATTGGACGATTCCAAACCTGAGAAGTATGCATTAATGAAACGGGTTGAAATGAAGATAAGACCAAAAGACTTCTGATTGATCCAGCGAAGAAAACAAAGACAAACTGATACCGCAGCGTGGAATGACATCACAACATTAGTGTGACGTGGAGATGAAGACAAATTAAAGTGTCCTGGGACTAGCGAAGATACGTCAAGTTCTCATTTTTTGCACTAGGGCTATGTTTTTGTATATCTAGTTAATTAGTGTTTGTTTGTCTGTTTGTTTGTTTGTTTGTCTGTTTGGTTGCTATTCGTACATTTTATTATATCAGCACCTGTACAAACTGTTTGACTATACCGGTTTATTGGATTTATGTTACCTATTCAATTCAATTTGGCATGTACTATGGCTTTGGACCAACACGACGCCGAGTCATTCAATTTGAATATGGTTACCTTTGTCGATCAAAAGTTTCTTATCCACAATTGAGTAAAGAAATAACCTATGGTGACTTTGTTATAACTTTTTTTAAGTCTTAAACATTGAATCATCTCTAAATTTGAATGCAGACAATKTCATGAAACTCARTGATGACTGCTGTGCGAAGACAACAMAKGTCTCATGATTTTTTTKRA